TAAAGTAAACAAATTGCCGCTAATGTAAATATTAACGATGTGAGAGACAAGTAAAAAAATCATTTTCGTAATTTTTGAAAAAATAAAAGAAGTGAGCGATATGGCGCTTATGCAATCTCATAGAGTGTATTTAGCACTATCCCCACCAATAGTTTAAAGAAAAAAAAACTTGGAGCCGTTTTGAAAAAATCTGCACGCAATATTGCTAGCAATATTGCACGAACACTACCAAAATTTTCAACATAGTACATGACCTTAATGAAAGAAATACAATGGAGAACACATTTTATTTTAAGGAAATATCTCTATCTTCAAGTTTATAGTTGTAGAAAGTCATCGAAAAAAATCCACACTTATGAAATTTTCGAAAATTCAGAGTTAACCGTGAAAATCGTACCTATACCACGTTTATAAGTGTATGTTTCACTATTTTAACAAGAAATTTTAAGAAAACATTTGGATCGATTTTTGAAAAAAAAAATGAAAATTACGGAGAGCTTCATGAAAAGTAGCCTCAAATTTTGAAGAGTGTTTTTCAAAATCTCAAAGTTTTGACTCGAACCAGATCGACAGGGGTTTCTTCAAATTGGTAAAAATCCTACGCGTGGTTTAGGCGTTAGTAGTGTTCACAGATTCAAACGGACGGAAGGACAGACAGACGGACGGATGACATGGTTGACTTTGAATTTTCGAAAATTTCAAAAGTTTACACTTTTTTGGTGTTTTCCTACAACTGCAAAATTGAAGATAGAGGTTTTCCTTCAAATTCATTTTATTGTTCGTAATTAGTTATTTCATGAAATTCATGTACATTTCTTTTAAACAATATCGCGCAATATTGCGAACAATATTTCCTATGTTTTTAAAATACAAAAATTATATTTTTTAAAAACGGCTCCAAATTTTGACTTGTCTCTCACGTCGTAAATATTTTATTCCCATTATTACATTTACGAGTACATGTGCTTTAAGTAAATCATCTTAAGTTTCTCCCAAATTCAACAGTTTGGTGTAAAAGCGCAAACTAGCTCAAAATTCTGTATTTTCAGTAACGATCATACGCCCGTTTCTCAATAACGGCTCCAAACTTTTCGAACTCTATAACCTTTTCGAACGGATAGTGCTGATCCCAAGCTTTAATGTGACGTAAAGTGCACTTCGGAATATTTATTGGTTGTTTCTTGGAAAATCACACAAATGTAATTGTTTTGAAGATATCTCCCGCCGTTAATATTCACATTTCCAGTAATTTGTAAACACTGTAGTATTTGTGCGTTAAAGTACTTCAAATGACTTCAAATAAAGATTTTCGAAAACTCAAACATTTTCTTTGAAAAAGAGCTTGAAATTTCGAGTTTACAGTAGTGCTTTAACACAATTTTCCTAAAACAGCTCAACATTTAAAAAAAATGCAATTTAGGAGATTTTACTGTTCTTTACTATTTAAAAAAAATCCGTTCTGCTATTAGGAATCCGAAAAATTAAGTTATTTTTTAAGAAAAATGTACTTTAGATAGATGGCAACTGGCAAGAGTATGTAATTTGGCGAGAAAAATCATCGCCAGCTCCGAATTTACTGCGCTTCTTGAACATAATTCCAGACATTTGGATGCTTTGTAAGTTACACTTTGTTTATTATTTCACATTTCTTTGTTCGATTCGATCTTCTGTTATACATTTATATTTTAGAAATTATTTAAAACGTATTTGAAATATATGACATAAAAATTGCTAGTTATTAAAAAAATGAAATATTTAATACATGCCAAATACAGACGTAGAAGAAGATAGTTTCTTTTTGTTTGATACTGCTAGTGATTGCACCTCATTGAAACCAAAATAAAAGCTCCTTTCAGCTGTTGAATTTGGATTCTCTCCATTTTAAATGATGAATCGAAATGATTGAAAGGGCTGGACTATTATCTGGCAGTAAAAACAGGTTTTTTTTAGTTATAACTCTAGTTTAAGTTCATCCAGGCTTGTTGAATATCTGTTTTCCTTTGCAGGTTTATTCATTCGCCAACTAGGGATTTATTGTTGTATGATTTGTTTGGAAAATCAGTCGTTTTAAAAAGGAAATTTCATTTCTTTATGTTAGACATATTTTTTATATTTTATATATGAAAATGTCTATACATACATAGTCTGTTCAAAAACGCGCTCTGTTTGAATTGAGCATCTTCAGTTGTTTAGAGAGGAATCCGTTTGATGTCACTAGGTTTGCCCAGATCTACTGATTATGACTGCTAATTTCCGACTGTTGATATCTTCATTTGTTATTAGTTACGTGGTTTTTAGAGAAGTGTGAATTTTAGTTTGGCGGATTCCAAAATAAATGACCTGAAAGAACAACGAGTTGCTGTGAAAATTTGTTAAACTAGGAAAATCTACGACAAAAGCTTTCGCTATGCTTAACACGGCTTACAGTTATGTTGATATGAACCGTACTGCATGTTTTAAGTGACAAGAACATTTTAAAGATGGTCGACAGTCCATTGAATATGATGAGTGTCCTGGTGGTCCTTCCACGTCATCTGACGAGCCACACGTTGAATAAATCAACACCATGGTGCGGGAAAACCGACGTCTGACTGTCAGGGAGCTTCCTAAATAATGTGGGATATCAGCTGGATCTTGTCACCAGGTTTTGAATGAGAAATTGAAGACGCACCACTGTGCTGCGAAATTTGTGCCACGCCTAATGACGGAGGAACAAAAATCATATTGTGACCATTTTTGTCAGGTAATATTTGACCGTTCAGAAGAGGATAAAAACTATTTGTGAAGGATCATAACCAGTGAATAATCATGGGTTTGTGGTTATGACATTGAAACAGGGTCCAATCGTCCCAGTGAATGGGTAAAAGGTCCCCTAGACCCCAAAAAAGCTTGCCATGTACGGTCCAAGTTCAAGGTGATGTTGAGTTTTCTTTTAATTCTGAGAATGATGTTCACCACTACCAAAATTACTATAATAAAGTTCTGAAACATCTGACCATTCTCCGGAGAAGGCCGCCATCCTCCGGAGGGACGCCATTTTCCGGAGAAGGCCAGAAATGTGGAAGAGTGGCGACAGGTTTTTCCAATGTGACAACGTTCCAGTCCATTCTGACCTCAGAAGTCGTGCGTTTTAGACCAAACACACGACCACTGTTCTTACCCACCCTTCCTATTCACCTGACCTTTCTCCTTGTGACTTTTTCTTCTTTCCCAAACTCAAAAGACCTTTGAAAGGAAGAAGATATGAGACGATTCCCGAGATTATGGCAAATGCGACGAAGGAGATGAGAGACATTACAAAAGAATCGTATGAGAACTGTTTCAACACGTGGAAACGTCGTTGAGATAATTATGTGCGTTGGGGAGGAGAGTACTTTGAAGAAGGTCGAGACCTATAACTTGCAAGTAAAGTACATTTTGATTTATGAGGTCAATATTTTTAAAATACCTCTCGTATGGTTACAGTTACAGGATTTATTCAATTTTTTCTTGGGTTTCTCACTTTTTATTTTTCCCTACAAATAACATTTTATTTTTCCTCTGAGTCTTTTTTGGGGGCAGGGGATGTGCATGGCCCACCTTGATCCGACACTGCGATTACATCAATATCATTTCCAACAGCTTGAATTACGCATCTGAATTTGTTTTGATAAAAAACGTCATTTTTCTTAGGGCATTTTAAAAACACTCTAAAAGCATTTTAATGACAATTTTTACAATGTTTTAGGTCGTTAAAATCCGCCACATAGTTATATTTCCCCAACACAGATACTATATAAATGTTTGACTGTTAGTCGAGTGTGATTGGTACATTAAGATAGTCTTTTATTCAAAATATTTTGGTAGAATGTATCAAACTACAGATTAGGGAGTTTGTGCACGCCATGCTGCAGTACTCATGCTGCGGTACGATTTTATTCGTTCGAATGATTAATCGAAAATATTTGTACGTAGTAGAGAGAAAGTTATGTAAAGCTGCGCAAAAAACGGCGAATTTTCGTCAGAAAAACTCTTATTACAGGGCCCTGGTAACGAAAAATTGGATAAATCCCTAGATCTAGCCAGAATTAATGTTTTGTGGGTCCTTGAAACCGAAAAATCGAATGATGGCAAAACGTCTATCAGTGTGTGAACAACTCTAGCGTCTAAAGCGTTCAGCCGATTTTCTCCAAAATTGACATTCTCCTATAGATCTGACTGATGTCACGGCCCATGGAATTTGAAACCTATATTTTAATTTAGGAGGGGGGTACTTTGTATGAATCCTCTAGGACATTTTTCAAATTTTCGAAAAAGGCTCCATTGTTTTTGATTAGCTTTTTTATTATATAATGTGAAGGACGTCAAAGATAATGATGCAGGTATCGTGTTAAAAACTCTAATTTTTGGAAAATTTCAAAAGTTCAACATTTTTTTTAGTTTTTCTACAACTAAAATATTAAAGATAGAGATTTTTCCCTTAATGGAAACTGTTCCTTAAAGGCAGATGAGAAATGAAACAAGGTCATGTACAATTTTTCGAAAATTTGAGTACTTTTCGCGCAATTTTGCGTGAAAATACGGGCTAGAAAATACGTAGTTTTAGCACCCCTAGTCACTTGAAAGTTTCGTGAGAAGTTAAAATTAATAGTAACTGAATCTTTTTCGGGGGGGATTTCCCTCATCCCCTCTTGTCCATATAAACACAAATGGATCCGCTCCAGCTAGCAAACTGAGTTCTGTTTATCACATATCTGCTATGGAATAAAGGCAATTAAAAATATCCCAAAGAAACATTCCAAAGTATTTCTTCAGTTTTTATAGGATAGGGTGAAGTGCGCTTATAAAAATGGTGCAAGACTAATTTATATTGTACTCTGACATTTCAAAAGTTGCAAAAGTTACAAATAATGCGAGAAAATATGTGATGCTCTAGTAGTTTACCTTCAAATTACCTGACTTCTTTCGTGTGGAGTCATGGAATAACCAATGATGTGGCAATCGACGGAAGTTGCATTTTATTTTCTTCCACGGAATCTTTGCTGTGGACCTGCTTTGGACGCCGCATTGCTCATGATGCATTCCATATTGTCATCATTACTCTTCCCTACTCTTTGGCTCTTTGGTCACACCACTGGTCTGTACGTCTGTGAAGTTTGAGGTTAGAGATCTGGATTAGGTTTGCTTTCGTGTGGTGAATGCATGCTGTATTTGAAGTTGCATTAGATTTTCTTCCCGAATTACAAAGGTTCTTAATAGAAAATGTATGGGAACGACGATTATGTTGACCAGGTAATACTTTTCTCAGAAGTAGTCGGTAGTTACCGCCCGAACACGTTCATTGTGATTTACCAAATTTTGGTACAGAAAGCAAATATATTTACGTGTTTCAACAAATAATCGCATATTAGTATTTGTTGGTGGTCAGAGAAATATTACTTTCATTTGCACCGTGTTATAAGGGAGCAAATGTGTAACATATGTGAAACGTAAGTTTCGAGATAAATGCTATTTCTAGAGCCCGAATCATAACAATGTAATTCAGTTAATTAATGTACAGTTTATGAAAAACATTTAGTGGATTAATAACTGACAATTTTGAAATTATCTATTTTCTGTAATGCTAATATTTTTAAAAATAGTTTATTTTTTAATTTTATAAGAAATACGTTAGCATTAATTCCATATTTTTCTATTTAACTTACGAACATTATGTACCAAGACGTTATTTGGGATGAAAAAGTAATCTGATGCTTTTTTCTTTTCTCTGTGTTTTGTAGCCAATGTCAACTATTTCAGTTCTTGTAAAACTTCACACTCTGCAAAACGTTTATTCTTCTTTGTATATATGCACTTTGGCTATCTTACCTCATTTTTATCTTTAGTATTAAATATAATTCTAAATTCTTCACTAAAAAATGGTTATGGAGCTTGCCTATATCTATAAAATTGATTAATCTGCTTAAATAACCTCTATGTGCATGATGTGTATTTAAAAGAAATTTGAAAATGTAATTCTGAGAAAAAAATCTAGATTGACAAACTAGTAAATACATTTTTAAATATATTTGTGGTGTGTATTGGTTGTGGCATCAGTAGCAAGGGAATGGTAAAAATATTTGTCCTAGTATTTGTAGTTTCTTTAGAGTCTTTGTACAGTGTGCATTAATGTCTTAATTACCCTGCATTGACCATTTTAAATGAGTGCAGTTGTTATACTTCATAGGCTCCGTATGATATGAATGGCTATATGAGTCCAGCTGATCACGAGGCCCTGGAAGGGCATGACGATGCAGGATATGAGCAGCCCATGTACACTAACATTCCAGATGGCGTGAAAAAATTTCTGGTATATTTAAGAGATTGCATCAATGAGGGTGTTGTATATGAAATATCAAATCTCTATGAAACCACGTAAGTAACATAATATGAACACCATTAATTTAGTGTAACTGAAATGCCAAAAGAGTAAGAAGGGAGAAAACGTGTGCCCAGTTCATATGTACAAAAACGTAATAGGAGGAGGGATGAAGATAAGGATGATGGGAGGGAGTAAGTGTTTGCTGATGTACTTGCTTCACATTTGCAATTTTTGATAGCTAGATAGAAACTTTAATTCTAGAATTGGGCATATGTTGCCCAGTGGCAGAACATAGAAACATCAAAGATCAATTACAAACATACTACATTAATGCAAACATACACATATATACAAACGTATGCAGACCTATGAACCCTCTTAAATATACAAGCCTGCACCATTTCACTCATAAGAATATTTTGACAAATATGGGTAAACATTTTACCTTTATGACACCACAATACAATACTTATAATAATTATTACATTTTCTACATGTGAAAACCTCGTTAACATAAATAAATAATCATAAAACAATGACATTTTAGATTAGCAAAACAAACACAAAGAATTGAAATCACTTCACTACACTGCACCATGTACCACTTTACCTAAATATGAACTGCTTAACTTTTGAGTGCCTAATAATCACACCTTTCATTTCACTTCACTCTATTGACAAATCTCCTATATTTTTTCCCCCTAAACCCTCACACTGAGTAAGGAAAACTATCTCAGTCAAATCATTCCAATTTTCTTTTGTTCTGTCTACAAAGGGGAATTTGCCTACATCCATTTTTTTTGTATTCGTGTTGTAATTTTATGACTGAGACTATGGTTGAGACTAAAGATTTTGACTCTTGTGATTAGCATGAAACATCCCTGAGTATGTGAAAGCTATCAAATTTTAAAGTTTGAAAGAAAGAAAGAAAAACAACAACAAATGTTTAAGCAATCAGTATGTGTACACACTTTTTTTTTTTCATGCAATTTTTTTACATGTCAAGATAAAGTGGTGATACTTTGAATGTTATATTCGGTAGATCTTAAGTTTTTGATTGATAAAATTGAAAATCTTGATTTGCATTTGTGATATAATATTTGTACATGTTTTTGCACGTTGGGGCAAGGGGAAAATTATTTTCTCTCAAACATGTATTGCTTTCATCAGTTGGGAAAACTATTTTACAAGACAGAATTTCTCCCCCTACTCACCATTTCCCAACCATGTTGATTCATACTCTGTTTGTAATTAATAGTTAAAGATAAATTTTATTGTTTTCTGTCAATAGTTTTCCGAGACTTACAGAGCAGTATTTTGAGAATGTTCCATGGCCTGAAGTGAGTGAAATTAAAAACCTGGTGAATTGTGATCCAGTAAGTAACTATTACAACAATTTATTCCTTTTTTGGGAGGTTTTTGTATAATTAGAAATGATAAAAGATTGGGAGACATTTTGTAATAAAATTTGAGAGTTGATTGCTGGCTTGATTGTTTATTGGTATGGAATGATACTTGTTTAAAATATTTAATTTATTGATTTATTTATGCATTCATTCATTTGGATGTTTATTGCAAGGGGTTTACAGATAATAGAATTAACTTTACTTAAGAGATGCAGTGCTACAGAGAAAATAATTTTGTTTATTTCTTCATGCGAGGAATTCAACTACAAAATGCAGGCTAGCTGTTGCTGCTACTCATCTGATTGTGGGAAGAATATTTTTTGCAGAGCAATGTGGCCTTTGGTGACATTCATTTATCCTAGAAGCTGCCAGAAATTGAATCTACTGCCCTGAATGCGCTGTATATTTTGGGGGAGGTGTGGGGTGTGGTGAAATTTTGACTGAATCTTAATATTTTGCCTGCTCCGGTTTGGTGTGTTGAATTATCTTGATTATAAGGATTATTGTGTCTTGTGAAAAATAGACTACATTGGAGTAGAATGTCAAGCTCAAGTGTTTTTTTAAAATAATAATTGCTTCTCTTTTTTTTTTTCAGGTGTTTCTAATACTTTATAGAGAACTGTACTACCGTCACATATATGCTCACATACCGCATGGTCCAACATTAATGCAAAGATTTGATTCCTATGCAACCTATTGTGAATTGTTCAACTACATTATCAGTAGGTATATATTAAATAACAATTGTGGATGTAGATAATTTTGCTATTTTTTGTGGTTGTGAATGAAAATTGGAAATTGAGTATTCCTCTAATTAAAAACTAAGGGTTATTATGTTTGCATTTTAATTGCCTTTAATGACAAATAGTATGAACATACATTTTTGTGTTCTATTTACTCATAAGGTTAAAAGAGTTGACATATTTGCATTGAAATTACCATGAATTGTCATGAGGAAGTCTTATAATTATTTTTTCTGTTTAACTTTTATTGTATCAGGATTTATGAGAAGTGTATTAAGAATAACTTGTTTGATGTAGATGCAAGTGAACCTGTTCCTTTGGATCTGCCTGATATCTGGCTTTGGGAACTCATCGATGAATTTGTGTACCAGTATCAATCATTCTCACAGTACCGAGCGAATCTCATGAAGAGAACTCCTGAAGAACTGGAGCTCTTGAATCAGAACAACCAAGTGTGGAATGTGCTTTGTGTACTCAATGTTCTGTGCTCACTTGTTGAGAAGTCCAATATTAAGAGGCAATTGGAGGTAATACTAAATTATGATTGGGAATGCATGTAATTGTTATATTTGAATTGCTATTGTTATTGTTTTAATTCTCAATAATTACTTGTAATTCTAAGGGCATGTCCCAATAATAAATTCATTTAAAAAATGGAGTTTATTAATGTTTCACTGAACTATTTCTGAACATGTTTATTGTATTGTTTTTGTGAAGGTTCATGCTAGTGGTGGTGATGCAGAATCTGTAGCTGGTGAATTTGGGCGCTACCCTTTGTACAAGAAGTTAGGCTACTTCAGTCTTGTAGGACTCCTCCGTCTGCACTCACTCTGTGGAGACTACTATTTAGCCATTAGAGTGCTAGACAACATTGAACTTCATCGAAAGGTATTTAGGAACCAAATAATGTGTTAAACCAGAATGTATAGATGAGTTGGAGATACTGAGTGTTAACTTAGTTAACTTCTGTGAATTTGCAAATGCTTCCATGACGATTATCTTGTGCTTGCTAGTATTTTTCTTGTGTGCTTTTCATTGAGTTTTTTTCTTTCTTGCAGAGTCAGTTTTCCTATGTGCCTGCATGTCAGATCACTGTTTCTTACTATGTAGGCTTTGCTTATATGATGATGCGTCGTTATTCAGACGCCATTCGTACTTTCACTTCCATCCTGCTGTACATTCAGCGCACCAAGCAGTTGTTCCAGACCCGAAGTTATCAAAACGATCAGGTGGGTAAATCATGTTCTACATGTTATTCAGTGAATAGAAAAGTATTAATGTCTCTTTGTAAACACGTTGACCTACACAAAGTAATGTTAGCTAATTAATATGAACTTCCTTTGGTATTAAAATAGTTAACTTTGCACTCTTTTCACTATGTACAAGAACTATTGCTCTTTCTTGGAACCTGTTAAGTGAATGTATTTGTTCCTTTTGGATATATCAATATAGAGCAAATTTAACTTCATTGATTCTTAACCCTCTCACTGCAATGGGCTGTCAATGTGAATCACGCATCTTGCATCATGCTTCTCACTGTGGGCCCCGTTGTGAGCTGAGCTGAGTTCGCTCGCAAATAGATACTGTGCAAGACATCTCTGTTATAATAAGTCCTAGTGAGAGCTGAAAGCACGTCCGCATGAGGGAACTCGTCTGGAGGCTCCTGGGACGTCGAAGTTTAGCGTAGAATCTCATGCCAAGGCTCCCAGCAACAATCTGAGCATAACAACACGTTCAGAGGCTGCCGTGCATGGAAATATTTTGTGTATAAACTCTTCTAGAACAGTCTAAGGGTTAAGTTTTCTGCCTTCCTCCCATGTTCACATGCCCCAGATATCAAGACATGTACCTATAGTCATCAGGACCATTAGGAACATTTACTGTGTATTACTTAACCCTTTGCACTCCTGTGTGAAATGGGTCTCAGCTTCAAGATTTTTATTTTCTGCTCCAATGTTGAGGCCCACTGTCTTGTGTTCTTCTCACGCCTCCCAATGGTTCTTACATTTTGACACACTGTCTTTTCCATTAGTTAGTGACAGATCTGTTGTACAAAGATTATTGCAACACCATCAATATTAATGTTCCTTCACACAAATAATTTTGCAGAAGAGTAATAAGAAATTTGGTGGAGGTAGAGTGAAGGGGAAGTGAACATCAAGGCCGTCGATTAACTTCTGATAGTGAATGCCTTGGAGGAAAATTATAATAAAAAATATAATTACAAATAACAAATTTCCAGGATGTAATATAAGAGGCATAAGATCTGGGAGGCCGGAAAGAAACTATATTGTGCTGTGAAACATTCCAGGCAGCCAGTATTGCACCCAGAAGATTGCTTCACAAGATATCGTACACAGAAGAAATTAAAATTTTAATCTTGAAAAACCTTAGAAAATGAGACTTTCAAAGAATTGAGTTTTTGTTTTTAATTAAGTATGTTATGTTAATGATACGTCAAACCTTAATCACAAATTTAATTCGGTCAGCTATGCTCCATGACCGGAATGGAGAATTTAAAGAGTGTTCTTGGGGATTCACAGCACAGAGCATATGGAGCACAAAGGATTAAATTTCTGTATTTACTCGAATATAACCCGCATATTTGTTCAAAAATTGCTAGATGAAAATTGGGGTGTGGGTAATATTTGAGTTAATGTTGGTACTGTGAACTAGCATGTGGTCACATGGTGGTGGGGGTTATACTTGGGTTTTATAACATGGCATGCCCGTTTTGGCAGCAAGGTCTACTTTTCTTTTTTTCCAAAATTGGTATCCCCAATCGAAGTAGCTGATGTTGCAGATGCTTGAATGTGAATGTGATGTTTTAATTTTAGGCAGTACTTTGCAAGGAGCCCCTGAGACATTTTCAAAATTTTGAATAAAAAATAGTCTAATTTTTTTGTTTAAATATTGTTGCAAATTAGAAAAAAAGTTCTAAAATGTTTGAGATTTCCATTTACTCAATTAGTTATAGTGCCTTTAAGCTGGATCAGCACACACAGTTTCAGCATAGCATTATCGAGAATTAATCAACTGTTTCAAGTGGGTTAGAATTCACTCAGTTTATCAATGGTAATGTTATTGAATACATCCCAATTGATGTAATTTATTCTGATTTCAGTGAGTCATTTGACACTCTTGATAATGAAGTTTTGTTGTGTAAGATTATAAATGTGAAGAGCATTTTTCTATGATGTACTGTGATAAAAAGGTCACAATTGCAGTATTACCCGTGTGGAACTGTGACAGTGTCTTGTAATTCTAATTTCCAGAGGATATCATGTACTGCCACATATTATAATGTATTAGAGTGAAGATGAAGACAAGGGATTTCTAATTGTAAAGAAAAACATAACTTGAAATGGGTCTCTGGGAATAAAACCTTCCTGGGAACTTCATGTCTCAGATTATCATCGATGGATCAATTTTAGAAAACTGAGGTCATTTTTCAGAATTTGAATACAATTTTTAATCAATTCATAATTTTTGCGCTCAGGTTTTGAGCAGATGACATCTTACTTTGGTAGATATTCAGTAAAAGTGTTTATGAAAGGTAAACCAAGTAGATTTATCCATAAATAATGATGTCTGGTCTACTTTGTTAATTCTGTTTGATTGGAAAATTGTGGAAGTGATAGATTTGATAACTTAATGTAGGGGCTGTATTGTAATCTGGTAGAATGTTTAGTTACAGTAAAACCCCTTACTTTCTTGCTAAGAAGGGAAAGTAAAAGCATGTGCCGGAATCGTCGATTTTTGTCAAAAAATCTATTGACGAGCCCTGGTAATGAAAAAGTGCATAAATCATATTCCTATATATAGTAAATTACTTCATTTAACACTTGGTATAGCACGAAACCCTGTTTTATGGGTCCTTGAAACTGCAAAATTGATTGATGGCATCTGAAATCGTCTGTTTGTCCATCTGTGGTCAATGCGAGCGCATAAACCGCCTCTGATTTTCTCCAAAATTGATATTCCTCAATTGATCTGAATGAAGGCGAGACTTTTCTGAGTTCATTACATACATATGTCGTAATTTACTACATATTGGAACCGGATTTATCCACTTTTTCTGTATCAGCAAGAGTTTTTCTGTCTAAAAATCGCCATTTTTTGCCGCAGCATTACATAACTTTCTCAGCACTAGTTATAAAACATACATATATGAGAAAGTAAAAAATAATAAAATAAATTACGTTTTAAATAAAGATGTAAAAACAGGAAAGCACTCATCATATCAAGTTGTAAATTGCAGGAAGAGAAATGCATTGTAAATATAGGCTTTTCATCGGGACCAACGAAAAATTACATAAAAGGCAGGAAAACGTAAAATGCGGGAACGTAAATACGGGGTTTTATTGTAGTTGCAATGCTGTCTCCCTCTGCACTTTATTGTCAAATTCATTTTTTTTGGACTGTACTTGACATTATTTTTATTGTATTTTCTACTTTTTGTTAATTAAAGTCAATTTTTCTTGTTTGTCAAATTTGATTTTGAAATACAAAATTATAACATTTTAACATTGATGTATTCTATCACTTTCGTGATTTTCCTTGCATTTCGTGTGTTTATAGATCAACAAACAAACTGATCGCATGTACCATCTATTAGCCATCTGTCTGGTGCTCCACCCACAATATGTAGATGAAGCGATTCAGCAAGTGCTGCGTGAAAAGAACTACCATGAAAAGATGTACAAAATGCAATGTGGAGACCTGGCTGAGTTTGAGGCGTGCTTTGCATTTGCCTGCCCCAAATTCCTTGCACCTGCTCCCCCAGTGGATGCCCCTGTGGAGGACTATGTGAAGGAGCCCATTAACCACCAAATCAGAGTTTTTATGGATGAAGTGAAGCAGCAAAAGATGATTCCGACTATCAGGAGGTAATTTCTTCTTTCTGGCTTGTAGACCATGTCACTTTAAATGAATTTACAACTGATTTTGTATTTTGCCTGAAAATCCCAGGAGACATATCTGGGAAATTAACGCACATTTGGAGTATTTTTAAAATCCCCTCTGTAATGCATGCTTGAACCTCCTTAAATAATTAGGAAATGTTTCCAACAAGACGCTATCTTCATTTACAATAAGTAAAAATTATGTAAAAAGCTGTAACTAGTTGTATTTGTGTTATGTTTTAATAAGTTTGATAATTGGAGTCTTAATTATTTGACAATGTAACTGCACCTAACAATAAGATTGGGGTCAATTTTTGATAGAAGCAAGAAAGTTTCTCCTTATTTTTTTCATTAACTCTTCTGGCAACTTCTAATTCTCAGAATTTGGCTCTCAATTATTCTAAAACTGTCCACATTTTGAAAGATATTGTACACAAGAAATTGTATGTATTTAAATATCTAAATCTTGTCCAACATTGATGTATTTGTAGGAGGGGAAATAGATTGAATGTGTATTGCTTCAATTGCAGCTACCTCAAGCTGTACACTACTCTCCCTCTCGCAAAACTTGCCATGTTCCTGAGCAGTGAGAGCCATCGTCATGGAGAGGCAGTGAAGAGCAGAGATCTCAATGAGGCCATTGAGGGACTCATCACCCAGCTCTTGTGTTTCAAGCACAAGATGAAGAACATAGTTTGGACTAAGGGAACTTCTGGTTTGGATGGAATTTTTCAGTCTGGGTCAGAAGTAAGTAATGTAACTTGGTTTATACTGGTAAACTCATTGGAGTGGGGAATACAAATTGCAGCCAGAAAATATTAAGATTTATTTAGCCAATAGACTTGCACATTGAAAGTATCAGTCATTGTACAAAAAAACATATACCATATGTTCTTCTTCTTCCCGTCAAGGTGTGTCTATTCACATCCTGAAGAGGGTATGTAGAGAAGGCTCTCATGTTCATTTCTCCATATTTTATTCATTTGCCTTTCATTTCATGCCACCTGAAATCTTTTATTACCCCTACTTTTATCTCTCACTGACCTTGTCTGTATGCTGAATTACCTACCCATGTGTTTGCCATGCATGGTGACCCATGAATTTGAGAAGTCTGTGTATGCAATCTGGACTGTTGCCTTGATACCGGTTCCTAGTGGTTAGGACTCATTCTATCCACATTAGCATACTCTAGTATAGGTCTGATATATGCCATGTAGATCAGTTTCACCATAGATGGACGTAATGTAGAGAATGTCTTCCTAATCAGGTATAGTAGCTTATTGGCTTTTTTAGTAACGGTAAACACTTGGTTATCCCATTTCAGATTTTGAGTGATTATAACGCCAAAATCATTTTGTTCTGTCGTAGAGTTGAGGATGTGATTTCCAACAGTATAATGAATATTTGGGTTATTTCTTCCTAAATGAAGGACAGTGCATTTATCAGAATTCAAAGGTAATAACCAGGACTCCGACCATCTCACCACTTTGTTGAGGTCATTTTGTAACGTCTGATAGTTGATTAATAGATTAGAGAAAATTTTGGTGTCGTCCGCATAGCAATTCCAACATGTAGGTAACCTCAAATGTGGTAACCTCTTCTGTCAACTCATGACTTTGTAGCGACTTACTCTTTTAAGCAGAGTATAACATGTTGAGAGTTCTCGCATGGGTAAGCTAGAAGATAGATCGGGGTTAATAGATATAGAGGTTATAAAGTGATTGATGAATCACATTCATAAAAGTAAATGAAAATACCTATGCTAAAATGTAATTGCCGGTTTTAATAATTATTTTGAAGTCAGAAATAATGTGTTTTAAGTTCTCAGGGCTTGACAACTTTAATATTATTTTGAAGACTACAGAAATAATAAATGTTTGAAGTTCTCTAGGCTTGAACATGTTCTCCTGCATTGTACGAAATTTGTTGGCAGCCAACAAGGTCGTGGCCTGGGCAAATCTTACGGGAGGTGCTTGGCAATGTCGATTCCGTGCTCTCAAAGCTTTATTGTGTTTTCAGAGAAAGCAGAATTTATAATTTTAGTTGAGAGATATGGAGAATGGTATTCTATGAATGTTTCATGGCCTCTTTACAACCAGTTCACCGTTTATTATAAATATTGCATGTTTTTTTATCATCTTGTTCATAAGCGCCAATGACCTCATTGTTTAAAATACCCTCTAAACCCCAATGAATCTTCTTCATTTTTTCTTCCTTCTTCATACTGATAACAATAATACCAACATGATGAACTATTCTTATGTGTAATACGTGTGTTCTGTTTTGTTCTGCAGCTGGACTTTTACATGGACAATGACATGATCCACATTGCAGATACCACAGTTTCCCATAGATATGCTGATTTTTTTATCAGGAAGATCCTGAAGTTCCAAGAATTAAATCGCAAGCTTCATATGATCAAATTTTGAGTTGGAGAAAGAAAATTGTATTATAAAATTGGAAATGTGGTATCCATTTTTAAAAAATAAAATTGTAAGTTCTGACAATAAGTCTTTTCTGTTTACCTCATTTGTTTTTTTATTGCAACAGGACATGTTTATATATTAGTGTCCAAATGATTTTGTATGGAAGATATTAGAATTGAACTTTCAAAGAAAAATATAATCTCTATTTATGAGTAATGCGATCTATGGTAAGTATGTTTATACAGTAAAACCCTTTTTTACACTTTTCTGGGGCCTGATAGAAAAAAATTATATGAAAAGTACGAATAGATAGGCTAGGTAATTATTTACATTATTTATTGCAACAGTGGCTCTGTTTTTACTTTCTCCCCCTTCGTAAGCAGAGAAAGTATTATGATCGTGTTGGAAATGGTAAATTTTAGCCAGAAAATCTCTTTTTGATGGGCCCTTGTAATGAAAAGTGGATAAATCATGTTCCTAAATATAGTAAATTACTACCTCTAAACATGTAGTGAATCCATGTGAAATCGATTAACGGCAAAACATCTGATTGTCCGTCTATGGTCAATGTTAGTGCCTAAACTGTATAGCCAAAACCAGTATTCCCCAAATGATCTTAATAAACTCAAGGCTTTGCAAGTTTGCTACCTACATATGTAGTACAGTGCCCCAGGAGAGTCTCTCCGCACTGAGCTGAATCAGGGCCTTCTATTAAAAATTTCATTTATGTTGGTAGCATCCTGATTCCAGGGAAACGTGAAAGGGACAACACTCCCAGCATCTGTTGCGATTGTGATGTGTATGCAATTTACGGTTTCAAGCTGCAGCTCAAACTACCAAAATAATTTGTTGCGAGCACTCGCACTAGCAAGGTGCCACTGTGGAAAGACTTTCTTGGCAGGTTATACATGTGTATTAATTTGCGACATGTTGGAATACAATTTATCCACCTTTTCTGTATTAGTACAGGTTTTTTTGTCGCAAAAGTGCTCTGTTTTTAGCTGCTGCTTGACGTGACTTCCTCTGCACTCTGTATATTACTGCATATAATACACATTCAAGCAAGAAAGTAAAAAGTTAAGAGAAAAAATGACATAAAACTGGAAGCACTCTTTATATCAAGTTGTAAATTGCGGGAAGGAAATCCATTGTCAATATAGGCGACGGGAACAATTAATTACATAAAAGACAGGAAAATGTAAAAAGTTGGAACATAATAACTGGGTTTATATATTCAATGTAGATGGAAAAAATCTCCAACAATTATCTTTATTATTTAAATGGTGAAGTATCCTTATTTAATTAAAGATCATCACTTCTGAATAGTTTTCCTTAAACTGGAAAATTACTTATTTATTGGCATGTTACCGTCTTCATTTATTTGACTTAGTCAACTTTAAAATTTTTTGTAACCTCCTCCTCCCTCATATTTTTTAATAAACTACAATACAAGAACTTCTTGACCATATTAAAATATTTTTCAAATGACATCTTTCAAACAATATGACAAAGTAACAATGTCAAATAAGCCAATGGAAGTAGGATTGTTCTGTTAAATATCATAAAATAGTGGTGGTACAGAATGGCACACACTCTCCAGTATTAGTTTTCTATTTCCTTTGGTTTCGGCAAGCTACTCGGGCCAGCTGCCACCTCTCGCTGTGAAAGTACATATTTTTAAAATTTTCTTATTCTTTCGGTTTCTTAATAGTAGAACAGAAATATTATTCTAAGAATATTAAAGAACAGTAAAACCTTGTCCTAAATGGCTAATTTTTTGAAAAACTGTTTTTAAGAAAACTGCGTTTAAGCGCTATTGTAAATTCGAAATTTGAAGCTCTTTTTCACAGAACATTATTAAGTTTTCGAAAAACGTAATATGATGACATTTTAAGCACTTCCAATCAGAGATGCACTATCTCTACCAAAAGTTAAAAGAAAAAATTTTGAGTCATTTTTGAGAAAATCTATATGGATGTTTACATATACACAGTCTATTTTAGCTAATTTTAAAACATTTTCAGTATTAGGTTGCATGTACACATAGAGGGGGAGAAAATTGGTTGCAAAAAGAACACATTTGTTACATTGAGAACAAATTGCAAACCAAGTAGTAACTTTGTATGTAAACAACATTCACATATTGTAATCATGTGTAGAGTATGAAAATGAAATCTCACAGAAGATAGTGATCTCTCTCTTCTCTTTCATGTACAGCCTCACTTCAAGTATTGTTGTTTTTGCAGTTTTTTTTTTTATTTTCTAGTATCTGTAAGTTTACATGGAATAATACAGGCAATGTAGAGAAAGTTTTGTAATAACTGAAGAATATCGATTTTGAGATTTTAACTGATATACTCATTCTGAGGTTACTTAATAAAGAAAGTGTATTTTCAAACTGCTTATTATACTCTCTGACTATCCATCTGCAGAACTCGAGTTTTTAAGCTATTTGTTGGATTTTTCCCAAAATGGATATTCTCTGATCAATTTGCTGAGACTCGAGATCCTGCAAATTTGAAACAAATTGAATTTTGAGGGTACTTTGCATTAAGTCTCTAGGACATTTTCAAACGTAGCTAAAAAAAGGCTCCAAATTGTTTGTAAGAGACACTTATAGAGATGGCACAGGTCTGATTTTCTCTGTTAACTGTGAATTTTTAAAAAATGCAAAAGTTTGAAATATAATGAATCCCTTTCTACATCCACAATATTGAAGATAAAGATTTTTTTCTTCAAATGAAATTTGTTCTCCACAATTGGTTCTTTAATTTATCAGTTGTACATTGTTGTGAAAATATGGAGAATATTAAAAACAATATCTTAAATTGAAATAGATTGATATTTTTCAGAGTCTGGTTTTAATATAATATTCAGTCTTATTTCCTTCTTACTATTAGGGTTTCAAAAACTTGAGAAACTATGAAAATGTTTTTTTTATATAACACTTTGTTCAGTATAAATATAACATGAAATTAAACTATGTTATTGTGGTATTGAAATGTGCAGAAAAATATTATGTTCTTCAACATTTTCTGTAGAGTTAGTTAATTTTGAAAATGTCAATCATTGCTGAGCCGAATGTTGAAAGATTTTAATGCTAAGGTCTCTATGCATTATTGCTATGGAAAAAAGTGTTGTCTAAGTTATATAGATTCTTTTTTTAAACGTTTAGTTTACTGCTTATTTACAATTTTTAATTTTTTTAACATTTAGTAAAAGATTTCTTGATGAACATAACATTAAACCTTACACAGTGTGTTTCTTTCATAATTTGTTTGATTGGAAATGCAAGTGAAGGTTGTGATGTCTCTTGAGTTGAAAGTTTTCACTATAATCCAGAAGATTGGTAGCCAAAGTGTTTGGATGTTTGTTCAGGCGCTCTTGGTATTTATGCTGTGTTGTATTATTTCATCGTATAAGGAGAGAATTTTTAGATCTAGTTGTATGGTGGTGTTACATTTGCATTGCCTATTGCTAAAGACATTTCAATTCAAATCTGTGGGGAATCTCTATATTTGATTTACGTGCATAGAACTCCATAGCTGAATTCCTTGTCTCCATACTGGTCAGATTGCTGCTTTATAGAGGAGAACTTTGTTTTTAAGAAACAAATATTAAGGTGATTGATTAACAATCAATTGATGGAATTTTAATTTTTCTTTTCTCTTATATATTCTTTCCTCGTTAGTCATACACAAATGTTTACATCAAAATTCATACACATTCCTCTCAGGCATTGTTAAAAGTTAATGCTGTAACGTGAACCTGAACAAAGTGTACCTATAAATAACATCGGTAAAATACTTCGGATTTCACCTTGACCAAAGTCTAACATGGAAACAACATGCTGATGTAGACTTAATGTTACAAAGCATATTAAAGGATGCACATGCATAAAAAAATGAGTTTTATTTGTATTATAATCTTTACAAAATTATTGTTACATAGCTTTGAAACGTTCACATACAGTAAGGTTTTGCCGGGGGCAGGGGGGATAGGTTATCCCAGGAACATGACTCGAAGGCTGGGTTTGAAACTCGCTTATGGCATTAAATGTTTCATTTGTGTTCATGACTTGAGGAGCAGGGATATTCCAAATACGTATTTATTGCATCTGTACTGTAGTCCTGTTACCACTTGACCAGAGAGGCAGCTGTTTTGCAACATTTTAATTGAACTGGATCCTACCCAGAACAATATAAAAATTGTGCAAGCACTGAGGAGCAAAGGAATGCTATTGGTAAATATCAGGTGACTACGACTACCTACTACGTAGTCATTTTGAGGCTTCCATACAGCAGAAAACATAATGGCTAAGCCATCGAAAGCTGCTATTGTAATAAAACAATATTGTTGGCAATGACAATTCATAATTACTTCATTGTAAATGCCAACAAAAACTCACCTCAATACCAATACAAAGCATTACGAAAATCTATCAATTTGCTAATTTCTAAAGAAATGAAAGAAAATATTGCAATGCACAAACTGTGAAGCTGCATGTGTAACTGCTGCCAAGAATAAAACATAGGTAAATGTAACTTTAGAAGAGTTCGACAGCTTTTTTGTTGTCATTTTATGTGATAAAGAAAACAAGTCATGGGACGTTCCTGCTAGAGAATTATTCCTAAACCATAGAAGCAATTTCCAAAAATTCAACGCACTTTTCCTTTTCTTTTCAGTTACACATGTTCTTCTAAAATTGACAGGAAGTCCAAAACATAAATGTCAACATTATGTTTGCAAAACACACAGTAGCTGCCAAAATGTGTCTTAATTGTGAATAAAATTGAAGAATTTTGCAACAGTAAAGTACAAGTATATGTGTAACTCTAAACATATTGCTCTGAAATAAAAGTAAAAGAACATTGATAATTCATTGAAAAATACATGTATTCCAATAAACAAATGTGATGGGCCTTGGAAGCCCCACTACTGTAAAGGTGTTAATCTCCCTTCTTGCATCAGGGGGTTTAAAAAAGGGGGTCTTTTTTTGTGTATGTGTGTGAAGAAACTTATTAAGCTGCATTAATAATATACATTATTAAATTGGTGAACTCTAGCTCAGTATTATAAATCACTGGGAATTTTACTTACAAATTAAACAGTATAATGTCTAAAATCATGAGTCAATACTCTGACTCTCAAAAATAATTTCCCTTTTATTATACAATACAT